AGCCCCCACCCCGGGGAGGACTTGACGCCCTCCGACGTGCACTTGGCCAGGTACAGCAGCACCATCCCGAAGAGGGACAGCCCGCCCAGCAGGGTCTTGTGGCGGCAGAGCAGGCGCAGCAGCTTCATGGCCGCGCCACCGGCTGCCCCCGGGCGCCCTCTGGGGGGCGGGGCAAGCGGCCGGCCCTGCCCCCTTGGGGAGGTCCAAATGATGGCTCCTCCCGCAGGAGGCGGCGCTACGCCTCGGGGCTGCCCTCTTCAGACCTAGCCCCGCCTCCGCGGAAACGGTCCAATCCTCGGCGGCTGCTCCCAGATCTGGGACTCGATTGGTAGAGCGAGGTTAGTCCCTCCCCACCGTTTCTGCGGGGCGGGGCGCAGGCTTCGCCCCTCCCCTTCGCGAGGCCCAACTCTTCTTTCCGCGCTGCCCAGTTGCGCCTTCCCCCCCTCCAGCAGCTTCGCCGCAGGTTTTGGCGGGAAGATCCCCCACGGCTACGGATGGCGGGTTGGGACACACCTCTCCAGACTGCGCTCGAAGATGCCGCCGGGTCCCTGCTGGATCGCCTCCAGCGGAAGGTTCATTGTCTTCTCGCGGCTGTTTCGGGTCAGCCCCGCCGAAGCGCTGTTCTCGCCCTCGGCGTGGCGCATGCGCACCCGGCCGTAACACGGGGGCCCGCGAGGCCGTTCTGGAAGGCGAGCTCGCCGTTCTCCGCTGCTCCTGAGGCGGAGAGAGAACGGCAAGGAAGAGCGGGGTCCGTAGCGGAGGTGGGGGCCGAGCACGCTAGCACCACGTGATCCCTTCCTCGCTGCTTCTCTCACCCCCCCGTTTCTCACGCCGTCCCGTTCCAGGGCAAGTGAAGCCGACGCCCGGCGCCATCTTTGAGGGCACTCTTGTCTCCCTATCAGCCGTCGCCTTGCGCCATTGCGAATTCGGGCAGCGCAAGTCTAGCGGCTGGTGCTTCCTGGGATGCAGTTAAGGCCAGCCAGTAGGGTGGCGGAGCGGTGGCCGTCATGAGCCGGAGCACAAAGGCTCTTCTATGCCCGAATGTAGTTCTACGTTCCGAAGAAGGGGAAGGGAGCTGTGCCCCAAACAAGGATGGCTGCGGCGGATTCACTTGCCCCAAAGAAGGATGGCTTCCCAACCGCGAAGTCCCCCCACCCACCCGTTCGGCTTTAGCATATAGGCCGCTAACTGGGCGCCTGCTCCTTTTTTTTAAATATTATTAATTTAAACGCTAACAGCCGTATATTTTCATTAGTCGCGTTAGCGAAGAGAGGAAATAAAATAGAGTCCCGCCTTGCCGGCTCTTACTTCCGAGGCGGGGGGGGTCCTCGCGCCGGGCAGGGTTCCCGGGAGGGGCGGAAGAGGCGGGGCTCGGCCGCTCCTCCGGGCGCTGAGCGAAGCTTCCGGTTTCCGGCCCCACTCCTAGCGGACGCGAAGGAAGACCGCCGCCGCTGCCCCAGCGCGGGTTGGGAATGAGGAGGCTGCGCGGCCTGCCGGGAAGGTCAGACCCTTCGACGGCCGCCTCTGGGCGCGCCTAGAGCGTCTGCGCCCCAGAGAGAGAGCTGTCCTGGTCTTAAAGAGGGTTCCTCTGGGCATGCGTGAAGTGCCACTCTTTACTGTTCCTTTGGCTCTCGAGGCGTTTCCAAAGTTCCTCTGAGCTGCCCCGAGGGCTTTTCTGGCGGGGCGGGGGGCAAGCCGGAGCCGGCCAGGTGTCTCAGGCCGCGGCGTCTTGCCGTTGCCCGTGCTGGCTGAGGCTGATGGAGGTTGTAGTTGAGGGATCTGGGGCACCGGGTTGCCTGCCACGTACCCACCTTGAGCGGAAATACGGAGCTACGTCTGGAGGCTTCTTTTGATTTCTGTGAAATAAAGTCTTGTGCAGAGTTCCCCTGAGAACGTGCAGAGTGCTTTTTGCGTGAACAGAACGAGGAACAGCTTTTACTTTTAAAAAAGAGGAAGGATCTTTTTTCCTAAAAGCTGTCTGAATAGAGAGGTGTTTTTTTTTTTTTTTTTTATACTGAAAACGTTAAGGGGAACCTTTAGCCAGTGAGTTTTGTTTCTTGTATAGGAGAAGTTATTAGGTGGAGAGTGGTAAAAAAGGGAAATGACCAAGATTTGACTGGAAAAGGCTTTGACACTGAGGAAGTTAGTAAGCAACAGCTAAAAAAAGCCCTGCAGGATTTCATTGAAAAACGAGGTTTTAGTAAACAGATTGGTTAATACAAAGAGAGATGTACAATGTAGGTGTGTTCGCTCCTAGGAAAGGAAAGTAAATAAAGCCAGCTAACTTTGTAAAAAGAAAAAGGTCTGATTGTTATTTCGTGGTTAAAAAAACAGCATGATGTGTGACTTCTGTTTCGTTTTAAGCTTAAAACAACTTTTTTTTTGGAGGTTCAAGTGTTACATGTGTTAAGTGCAAGTTGGAATGAAAGTTTTTAAATGTCCTTTGTAAGCGCTAAGCCTCCTGGCCTTCTGTAAGACCTTAAAAAAATGCTGCTTCCCCCTTGCACCGGGCTAGAGGGTGAGGTGAACCCTCCAAAAGTAATGGATTTAGAAAGGACTATTTCTATTATTGACCTTGGTTATCTAGTTACAATGGTACCTACTTTTCAAAATAAGGAATAATGCTAATTGTTTCATCTGCTGCCATCTCCAGGTTATCCAGATACCATACCGGTATTTCATACTGCTGACCTTCTGAAGAAGAGAAGCCATGGTTTCCAAACGCGCCTTCCTCTGCAGCTTGGGCTCCATCTATTTATCCCTCCTCTTTGTCTTTTTGCTCATGGATGTTTATGCTCGGCCCGCCAACAGCTCTGCCCTCAAAGAGAAACCAGCCGACAACAAAGACGAAAACGAGATCCTCCCTCCGGACCACTTGAACGGGGTCAAGATGGAGCTTGATGGCCACCTCAACAAGGAGTTTCACCAGGAGGTTTTCCTGGGGAAAGAGATGGAGGAGTTTGAGGAAGATTCAGAACCGCGGAGAAACAGGAAGAAGCTTGTAGTGATTTTCTCAAAGTGAGTAGGACTTGTCTGAACTTGAAAATTGCTGTCGTCCCCCTGAAGTAATTAGAATAGAGCAGTGTTTCTCAATTTTGGCAGCTTTATGTGTGGACTTCAACTCCCAGAATTCCCCAGCCAGCCTTCGTCCCTTTCACTCCATACCACTGACTGGTAGCAAACTCACCAGCTCTCAGCCACCAGTCCTTACCCACAGTGAGATGCCGAGGGCTGAACCTTGGACTTTTCCCTTGCCAGTGATATGGCTTGTTTGTTCAGCTGTCATGGTTTCCTCATTTATATAGTGACCTCAGATTCCCTTTATTTCCCAGTGCGTAGAAAATGGCAGCTTCAGGAGCACCATTTAGATCTGTGAAATTGGAATGTGCAGGAGAAAGCTTGGTTCTGTCTTCCCTCCATAATTTGGAGCTGTGATTGTTCTAAGAATCTTAGAAGGTACCCTAAGATCTCCTTTGCGGTAGCTAAGGGAAGGAAATTGGCCCTGATTCTCAGTGCATGTGTGAATATGCTTTTATTTATTCCTTCCACTGCCCCCTGGCCTTGAAATTAAATTATTGCAAGTCTCTGAGGCGGTGGGGCTGGTAGTGGCCCTGTGGATATCTTGTCTGCAAATGAAAAAGATGTATTGTTATGAAGCGCGTAGTGGGTAAACAACTGGCAGTCGTGAAATAGAAAAGCCAACTGCTGTGCTGAGGCAAGGACTGGGGACTGATGACACGGGCCAGTCCCTCCCCTGCTCCCTTGTTTCTCATTTGTTGGAAGGAGGGCAGGTCACAAGCCACTTGGTTCTTGCCATACTGATGTTGCAATCGATTGCAAGCAGGGGGTAAATGTTCTCCCTGGAAAGCTTTCCCTCAACAACCAAAAAAATCCAGGCGCTTGGGAAATAGAGGATTTCTAAAGCTGAGAAACGAACGAGCAGAGGTTGAGTTGAGGGTTAGAAGGGTTTCCTTAATGAGCCAGCTCCTGGGGAGACGAAAGGAAAGTGCTTCCCATCTTTGATGGCTTAGTAATAAGCTTTCCCATTTTTTTTTTCCTGAGTAGTGTCAGTGCTCTTTGCTGAATAAAAAGGCCATCCTCCCCTTTCTATTATTGGCTGTGTCAACTGCCAGATACGTTATCAGGCAGACTCATAACAAGCACACTCTTGTTCATATCAAGCTTGTAGTGGAGCAAAGGTATGAGTGGTGAGTCAGAAGCCATTAGTTGCCCCTCGTTACCTGCCTTGGATATAGTTGGAAGAAACCTCTTCCTAGGACAGTGTTGCCAGTGCCTTGGCAACTTGAAGATGTGTGGACTCCAACTCCCAGAATCCCCCAGCCAGCAAAAGGTGCAGAGAGCCATCAGAATGTCCTTTAATCCCTGGCTAAGGTGCAGTTGTCATTAGGCCCACCATTCCCATTGTAACTGGCTACCCCTGTGGTGACCCACTGTTGACCGAGACACAGCCCAGTGAGGCTGAGCCAGTAGCTTACCTAGGCCGCCTCCAGCTTAGTGTCTTCCAAATGTCTTGCAGTAGCAGCTTGTAGGGTTGTCTGTCAGTGGGGCCAAGAGGATCCCTGGCTGGGAATTCTCAGCTGAAACTCCAGCACATCTAGAAGACACATCTGGCAGAAGGAGGCCCCCGTCTGACCAACACGGCTTTCCAAGCCTTCTGTGGACATTTGGGGGCTTGGAGTTGCCAGAACTGCTGTTCCCTTCATCATTTGCCCTCTGTCCTCGTCACCTCAACCCTTAAGCTGGTTGCTCCTCAGCTGAGCAAATGTAGAGCTTTTCCTTTGTCCCAGACGCTGGGGATCTGTGTCACTCTAACGTGGCTCCTCGCTGTACGCTCAACCTTGCAGGGTCGATATCAACAGGGACAAAAAGATCAGCGCCAAGGAGATGCAGCGCTGGATCATGGAGAAGACGGAGGAGCACTTCCAGGAGGCCGTGGAAGAAAACAAAATGCACTTCCGGGCCGTGGACCCTGACGGGGATGGTAGGAGGAAGCGTGAAAGGGCTGTCTTGGCACAGTTAGATGGCAGCTGTGGGGGGGGGGAAGCTGCATTTATGACTGCGGGCTTCATGGCCTGCAGCTTTCTGGGCAGGTTTTCTTTGCGGGGGTGTGAGATAAAGCTCTGCTTCTTCCTTAAAGGCAGCGGGTGTCTTATTGTATCAAAATTTGAACAAGCTGAGAAACAGGGCAAGGCAGATTCCACTCTCCCGTAGCTGGTGGGAAAGCTGAAGCTCGGGATCGTTCTGTGACAGTGTCACCAGGCAGATAGTGGCACTTGTCCCGGAGCAAGCGGGCACAGGGGAACGATTGCAAGGGGAAAAATGGACGAGCCGCTGCTCTGTGTGCTTAACAAGGCAACTTCATTGAATAAGAGCAGTGACGGGAAGGATCGCCTTAGCCCAAGGCTCCCCCAGCCAGATGGACACTGCTTTAATGTTATCCACATGCTTTTTTCCCCCTCCCCGTCTTTGAGGCACACACAGTTTGGAAGGAGCGAAAGCTTCCCCAACCTGGGGAAAATGAGGCCGCTGGGCTTCCCTGCGTTGCCAATGCCTGAAAGCCTACGCTGGGCCTTATTCCACCCGACTTGCCGTTTTCCTTGACGTTGTGAAGGTTAGCCCCTGAGCCTTTTCCTCTCCTTTTAGGTCACGTGTCCTGGGATGAATACAAAATCAAGTTCCTGGCAAGCAAAGGCTTGAACGAGAAGCAGGTGGCTGAAAAAATCAAGAACAACGAGGAGCTAAAAATCGATGAGGAGAGTAAGTGGAAAGAGAACTCTGTGTGGCCTCCTTTTTGGAATGGTGTTAAAAGCCCGTGCAGGTGTTCTTCCCAGGGAAGGATGAAAACTCACAATTTTATCCTGGTCTTTCAAGAGAAACCTTCTTGCCCTTGCTTGGCACAGTGTACATGGACACCCTTTGTTCCCCCCTCCCCTCCATCCCTATAGCAACAACCTTCTTTTAACCTTGGGGGGATTAGTTTAATTCAGGTCACCCTACTGGGATGAAGAAAGCTTTATAGGTCTTGCTGCAATGCCTCGAGTAACACAACCTGTTCACCACTGGGTGTGTTGGCAGAACAAGAGCCAAGATTGCTGACCGCAGGCAAGATAACTCAGCTTGAGTTTATAGTTTGAAACTTCAAACTGCGGTTTGGAGTCTAACCTGGGATTCGCATCCACAATGTCTTGGTGTGGTCGTTGAGTGAAGGTACCTGCAGGCCACCTTGATTTATTGCATGCCGCTTAGAGTCACTTGGGAGTTGGGCAGTGCCTAAATTGAATTAAATTAAATTGTTCAGCTGCTCTTTGGACCTTCAAAAGTTTGCCCTGCCTCTCCATATTTCTGGAGCCTGGATTGCTAGAAAGTTATTGAACAAAAAGCGGAGATTCTAAAGAGTTCTGCAGGGTTGTGGAATGTGTTTGCTCACTCTCTGCTTTCTCTCTAATAATCCTGCAGGATTGTGGGATGGGTTCAAGCCCTCCTCACTTCTCAGGGTTTAGAGCAATGTTTCTCAACCTCAGCAACTTTAAGATGCTGGCTGGGGGATTCTGGGAGTTGAAGTCCACACATCTTAAAGTTGCTGAGGTTGAGAAACACTGGTTTAGAAAGTCTGTTCCACTCCTCCTTTCTGAGTAAAACCTCCCACTAGAAACCCAACATGTTGCTAACAAGCTAGGTTGAACAGGACCGTGGTTCTTCTGAATCGGTTCTGTGTCCTGAAGAGGACGTGCCTTCAGCAGTAGGGAGCAGGGGTTGCTTTCCAACAGTTCAGCTTGATTCAAAGCCTCTGCCCACAAATTCTGGAATCTTTCAGTCATTTGTGGTGGGAAAACAAGGAATGGCTCGGTTGGCCAAAATCTCCATGTGAAAAGATCATGCTCTCGTTTTCAGTTTTAACCAGGCTAGTAAAAGACATTTGCCCCATTTAAAACTTGGGCTTCAGAATTAAAACTCCCCGTTTTTGAACACCTCTTCTTTGAATCGATAGCCCAGGAGGTCCTCGATAACTTGAAAGATCGCTGGTATCAAGCTGACAACCCCCCGGCTGATCTGTTGCTGAATGAGGAAGAGTTCTTGTCCTTCCTTCATCCGGAGCACAGCAGAGGAATGCTGAAGTTTATGGTCAAAGAAATTATCCGGGATCTGGGTACGTTCCTGTTCAAAATCATAACAGAAGTCCTTCCAACTCAGATCATCAGCAGATAAGATACCGCTGTTGCTGGGTTTCTTAGATATCACACTTGCTGGAATTGTGAGTGGGTATTAGATTGGAGAGTGGGCCTTAAGCATAGCCGCCCAGGAAAGTTCAGTAGCCTTGGGCGGAGAATGACTTTCCCCTTTGGCGACCTCTTCCTCAGGCTGTGAAACTGGGAAGCCATTTTCGGCCCCGCTTTTTGTGGGGAGGACAGACCAACCTGTCAACCTGTTGAAGTCCACACATCTTAAAGTTGCCAAGTTTGAAAAACTCTCCTTTAAGATGCTCCCCGCGGGGGCTGTGTGTTCTCTGAATCCGCTGGCCCTATGCTTCCCAGCCCAGCTCTAACAGCTGGGATGTGGGTGGCCAGGAGGGGGCGCGCCAATCTCACATGGAGCATTTTATTGTGAAGATTTGCAATCAAGCCTGCGATTCATACTGAGAGTAAAGAATTAGACCTTTATCCAGTTGAAGATGAGTGTGCTTCTCTCCAGCTTTCAAACCTTAATTGCTTCCTGTGATATTTTGTCACTGTCCTTCCTTATATAGATATATAGGGCTTTTTTTTCATCCCACACTTACAGTTCTGATCAGAGCGGATTTGGACGAGTGTGGGTTCCTGCTAAGCTTTCACGAGTGGTGGTGAGATGTCAGCTTTTAGGGGAGGGGAGGACCTTTCTTCCTGCTTAGCACCTGCCATCTTTTTACATGGATGTCCAGCCTCCCAGGACATGGCTGTTTCATGACGTCGTCTCATTTCTGGAGCAAAATCAGACCAGCGTGGTGCTGATCGGCATGGCTCTGGAAGCGGGACAGAGTCTTCTTTCGACGTCTTTCCCGCTCCATCAGACCCAAGGCTCTTATTTATTTGATTGCCACATCAGGGCCCCAAGGTGAACGTCAAGCAGATGCAGCTATGCCAGGATATCTGCCTGGCAAGGAGATGAAGTGGAACCGAGGAGATTTACATCGCGCACATGGCAGCTTATTTGATTCCAATTTTTTGTTTTGCAACATTCCTCGCCCCCAGATCAGGACAACGATAAGAAGCTGACCCTGTCTGAGTTTATTTCCCTGCCGGTTGGCACCGTGGAAAATCAGCAAGCCCAGGATGTCGATGATGACTGGGTCAAAGATCGGAAGAAAGAGTTTGAAGAGGTCATCGATGCCAACCACGACGGCATTGTTACCATGGAAGAATTGGAGGTAAATTTCCCTGGGGACTATCTGTGAAAGCATCAGTGCCCAGCACTGGCTTACAAACACTGTCTTCTATCTAGATTCCCCCCAAATTATGCATATTTTTCCCATCCCTCCTCTGTGGCGTCCCCAGCATTACTGTCATGACTGTGAGGACGGCCAGCCATTCTTGAAACAAGCTAATGCCTGTTAGAAGGTGGCAGGTCTCCTCTGGAAACAGTCCAAATCTGAGAAAAAAAACAGACTGCGCTACTTTTTAATTTCCCCCTCCCACACGACAATTTGTCAAGGCAGGTGATCAGAGCGGATGTGTGGGCCCAGCCGCTTTCTGAGAAGTTGGTTTGGTGCCTTGACTGCAGCTTCAGCTCTTTCTTATTTCCACTTAGCAAAAGGAGCGGGTGAGAGGACGTTGCACTTTCTCACGGGAAGAGAGGTTTTCGACTTTGAAAAAAAAATTTTTTGAGTGGAATAACCTGGCTGTCTCCAAACCAGGGGCCCTCCCAGTGTAGGAACTTCAATTCCCAGAATTCTGAGTGGGGACTCTGTCAGCTGGGGAATTCTGGGAATTGGCTGACACATTGGAGAGGGCCCAGGTTGGCGAAGGCTGATTAGAACATGCCTTGGACAGCGTCTTTCCTTAATGGCTCCTTCTGGCTTTGGAAGGAGCAAGAGTTTCAGCAGAGATTTTTATTCTGCTTTCTCTGCATCTGTCAGATTATAGAACCAGGATTACCGGTTAATCTTTTTGGCACCCTTCTGTCCCACAATTAATCTCTCTCCATCATTCAGGGAGGAATTAGAATGCTAATATTTTATCGTGTCTTCCTGTTGGAGAGGCCACCAAAAGTCTAGCATGGTTTTCTTTTTTCTTTATCCTACATTCAATCTTTTGATGCTTATTTTCCGCAGGTGCTTCGCTTTCTAATGTAGCGTGAATCATCTCTCCCCATATTTTTCTGTTCTTCTACCCTTAGCGTGTCCCACCAGCAGCAGTTTCCTATTATGGCAGCACGATGAAACAAAATTTAATTATGCAAGTGATTTTGCGCTGCAGTAATGGCCCATATCCATTTTTGTAGCTCGAAGTTTATGTAGGGAGTCTCTGATACAGGAAGATTTAAGCTGACGCTGCACAGTTGTCTCTCTTTTCCCAATATCAGCAAAGCCGGTGAAGGCTCCTTCCATCTTCGATTCTACGTTATAATCTTTCCCATCTCCCAGGATTTTTAACTGGAGATGCTGAAGGTGGCAGGTGAGATTTGCTGGTGCTTTGCCACCGAGCTCTGAGCCTTTGTGCTTCTTCGAGCAACTTCAGCTCTGGGGTAAATCCAACAGACTCCCTTCCAGATGTCATCCAGTTTAGATGCTTCTCAGGCCCTCCTTTGAGTGGTGTGTCCATTTCTGGGCACCAGACTTAAAAGGTACAGCCAAACAGAGGCCCAGAGATCATTGTGGTGCTGGAAACTTAATTCCTGTGAAAAGAGATACATGGAAATGGGTGCATTCAGCCAGGAGAGGAAACAGTGGGGTTCTTCCTAGTACCTGAAGGTGATCCAGACCTTATCGAGGAACATCGCTCCTTGATAAAACAATTAAAGGCAGATTCTGGTTGAACGTTAGGTTCCTCGTGCCAAGAGCAGCTTGACAGTGGAAGCTGTTTCCTGGAGAGGTGTTAGCTGCTTTTTGGGGTGGGTGGGGTGGACTTCATCCCAAGCCTGGGCCTCAACCCATCAGGGATGTTTTAGCTTGAATTGCTGACCCAAGCAGAAGACAGACTTGGAGGTTCCCCTGGGATCTTTGCTCCATCGCCCACTTTTCTCCTCCTCTCCTCCCAAGGAATACATGGACCCCATGAACGAATACAACGCCTTGAACGAAGCCAAGCAGATGATTGCCGTCGCAGATGAGAACCAGAACCACCACCTGGAGTTGGAGGAGATCTTAAAATACAGCGAATACTTCACCGGCAGCAAGCTGATGGATTATGCTCGGAACGTCCATGAGGAATTCTGAACACGCAGGGCCCTGGGCGCCCGTGGCACCTTCTCGTTTCCCAAAAACGAAAAAAATGGCACGTTTCCTTCTGCTGCTCTCTCTGTGTCCCGTCCATATACGGTGTGGTGTTCTAGACTTTTTTTTAAAGCCGTCTGTGTACATTAAAAGCCAATCCCAGTCTCTCTTCCCTTGAAGAGGAAGAGGTTTTCCGAAGCCAACAGGACGTGTTCTTGCTCATCGTGCTGACTGAACAGTTTTCCTTGCAATCTCTGAAGGTCCCGTTCATGTATCTGATTCTTTTTGATTGGGGAACGCCACAGTGGAAGCCAGCAAACCATGATCTTGATCAGTGGGGGCGGGGGAAAGTGGGGGGTTGACTGTATGTAAAGTGAAATCATGGCTGGGGTGTGTAGCTCTCGTGATTGCTTGAAAAGAATGTTTCAAAAAACATCGATCCACTTTACAAAAGAGGTGAACGGTGGCAAAGTTCCCTGCTAGAATACAGGTTGTTTGAAAGCGAACGGACTCGGCTTTTTCTCTGATTGCTGGCTTATGGCTGGCTCGCCATTTCAAAATACCTCTTTGCCCGCCCACGCAGCTTCTTTGGGTTTTTTCTCCAGACTCTTCACGAGCTTCCTACTTCCTTCCTTTGTGGTTCAAAAACAGGGTTCAGCATCTTTCTCCCACATTGCTTCTCCAAAGGTTCCCATCCTTTTTCTCAAGGTGTGACATGGCACTGATAGGAAAACAGCAAGCGCGCGATCGCGTTTTCAGCCCCCGAGATGCACGTGTCGCAGCGTGAAAAGAGGCACCGTGTTGCGTGCCAACTTGGAGTCCTTTTAGAATTCATCAGGCCGGAGAGATGTTAGCCAATGTTGGCTTCTTAGATGTCGCTTTCAGAAGGGCGGCGGGAAGATGAAATTGAATCGAGGGGCGGCGGGGCGAATCTGTTACTGTGGTAGAAAACCGAAGCGAGACTCCAAGGACTCGCAAGGTTGACTTGTCTGTGCACGGCTGAGTCCTCCCAAACGTGTGAAACTTGGGTTCATGTAGCACCGGATTGCTCAGGGGATACGTAAACCCAAACGCCTCTGCGTGGCTACGGGGCAAATTGCGTTTTGAAACTTCTCGCCAATTTCCAAGGGGGACAGCCAGCCGGGGCTGAAGAGTGATGGGGAAAAGCTGGGATTGGCCACTTCCGTGGTGGGCAGCGTTATGGCATACGAGAGTCTGGTCTCTGCAGGAGCTGTGCCAGTCAGTGGTGGCACAGTTCCTGGATTCAAACCCCCACCTGACACTTGGAATAAAAGATTCTTCAGCCAGAGAATCAACGCTTAGATTTCTAGATGCCTCCAAGGCAGTGTTTCTCAACCTTGGGCACTTGAAGATGCGTGGACTTCAACTCCCAGAATTCCCCAGCCA